CGTCCATAACATACCCGACGCGCCGACTAAGAGGTATTTTTTTTACAAAAAAATAACTCAAAAATGAGAAAATCATGATATTCCCAAGAGCGTCGATAAAAATCCAAAAAGTTTGAAGTCTAAAAATGACGTCAACGTTTTCTTAGTCCACACTTATTAACATTGTTCTTTAACAAGGGGTGTTTTTCTATCTAAGTCAGTTTGAAAGTGAATTCCAACGAGTAGATTTTTTTCGTTCTTTTTCTTCCTAATGCTAAATTTGAAAATTATCCTACCAGGTCACTATATACCTCGAAGAAGAGTAAATTTAATATAAGGGCCCATTTCATTGGTCGATTGAGAATTAATCCAACCAATAAGGCTGCTCGATTTATTTTTAGTTTCTCTGTGTGATCAAACCTCAAACGCGTATAAACGCGTTTTTCATGAAAACAAAGAAAAGCAAACATAAAATGAAAGAGCCCATGTCATTGGTCTATTTAGACCTGATCCAGCCAATAACACTGCTCGTATTATTCTTGTATTTTACAAGTAAATATGAGCAAAACATGTTTACACGTGAAACTCGCTCACTGCAGAGAGTTTAAAAGTTGTTACTTCGCTGACGCATCGTTTTCCTTCAGTTGATAGCAACAAGAACAAGGTAGGAACTGTAGCAACAATACTTGGTTAACTGTGAGAGGATTGCATTTAACAGGCAACCATGTTCAAAATGTGTTTGTAGACTTTGTACGTGAAACGCGTTCACTAGAGACAAAGAACGCTCTGTTACCAACAGGAACAACGTAGGAACTTTTGCCAGTGCAAGAAATCAATCAGTAGTAACAAAAAAAATACCACAAATCTTACGAAACGTGAACGAGTATCCTATCCTGCCTTTTTCTGTCGTCAATATTTACCGTGTAAATGTTCGTATTTCTTACAGATCAGAAGATATCAAAAGACGTGTCCATCCCATTCGAAAATTTCACCGACCATCATGTTGTGTTTGCTGATTTCAACCCTGATCGCCTTGTGCTACGCAGCCAACAACAGCAGCGAAAAAACAACTCCAAACATGGTAAGTTCATTTGCACCTACTTCACTATTTGTCCCAGTCAACAAATGTTTCTGGCTGAATGGAGTGTATTTTTCGGAAATCATTAGGTGTAATTAGAAGAAAGTTTGATAAATTAAATCGCTCCCAACCTACAATAGAAGTAGTGGTTAAGTCAACATATCAATAGCTCTAGAAAAATAAAAAAGCGTTGTCCCCTCTGCAGATGTAGGGCACTCAGCAGTTTCCACCATACGGACCTTGTGGGTATGGTGCCTGTTTTTGCGCGCCAGGAATCCCAGGTATGCCGGGAAGCCCTGGACCCGCGGGACCAGCAGGCAGTGCGGGATCAGCCGGTCCGCAAGGATCCATGGGACCACGTGGAGATAAAGGCGACGCAGGGAAACCAGGATGTGAAGGCCTCCCGGGCCCCAAGGGACGTCCAGGGATATTGGGGTTTAAAGGGACCACGGGCCCAGCGGGACCACGGGGAGCTAAAGGTGACGCTGGCGATAAGGGAAGCCAGGGTCCTCCAGGCCCCAAGGGACCTCAAGGGACCACTGGCCAAGCGGGCTCAAGAGGAGCCAAAGGTGACGCCGGCTATAAAGGAAGCCAAGGCCCTCCAGGTCCGAAGGGCCCTCCAGGGACGTTGGGAAGTAACTGGAAACAATGCGTTTGGAAAAATATCAACGATGACAAGGACACTGGATTAATGAAGGTAAACGTTTAAGGGACATTTTACTTGCAGGCGTCCAATGGGCATACAAAATGATGTTGCAACTTCAGTAAGACCTCGGCAAAACAAGATAAACCAACCAAATGTTATGGCAAAAACAAAATAACCTGTAACATTCGAGTCTAATTAACAGAGCAACGTCATAAATTTTGAGCCATCTACTATTTACTAGACTCCATTCTTTACATTTTTGTTTTATATTTTTTGATTCCTAAAAGTTATCCCTTTGATGTCTCTATAGGAATGTGTTTTCAAGAAAACGTCGGACATAACAGACCTGCGTGTCTTCTGGAATGGCAACCTTCGCCTTTATGGCTGCCATGGTTGCTGCAGACGATGGTACTTCACTGTCAACGGTGCTGAGTGCTCTACGCCAGCAGCGATTGATGGTATAGTCTATATGGTATATGGAAATGGTGGCAAGAAAAATTTACATCGTGTACGACAAATCGAAGGAGTGTGTGAAAAAGTCCGCAAGGGCATATACAGGGCACAGTACGCGTGGGATTCTGGGTCGGTAACTGTGCTAGTTACGGATCTGCTGACGCGCGAACGGGTTGGAACTCAGTGTCCCGGATCTACGTGGAAGAGGTACCACCCCCACAGGCTTGAAAAGGCAGATTACGAAGCTTTGTTCTACGAGGGTTAGAACTTAACTGAGGCGCTTTTATAGGTAACTGTGAACAGAGCAATCATTGTGAAATCTAAGAAACAGATTTTAAAATGGGTTTTGTAGGTGTGATTGATGAACAGCAAGTTGCTCAAAGTTCTGATCAAATTTGATTATCAGGCGAAATCAGGGCACTTTAAAATACTTCATTTTAAGTGATCTTCTTGAACCACGTAGAGCATAAAGCTGTTTTTTAGTTTGCTGGTTAAGGGATATGCAAATAAAGAAGAGGTAATTGAATACCCAAGAACTTTTGTGTGATTCTACGTTACTTTCCAAGAAGATTCTTAAGGGACAAAGGAAAAAAAAAACGGACTTTCAAGCAAGCATTCTCAATTGGATAAATATGTCATTCTTCTTGATACAAATACTAAAATATAAAATATCAAGCTGATTTTGCACAATGTGCAGTTCACTATTAACCCAACCAAAAGATTTAATCTGGCATTAGCTCCACTCAATGTTAGTTTTTAATCTGGCATCAGCTCAACTCAATCTTAGTTTTTAATCTGGCATCAGCTCAACTCAATCGTAGTTTTTAATCTGACATCACCTCAACTCAATCTTAGTTCATCTGAAGCATCAATGCAGTACATTCGTATAGTATTAAATTAGGGGTCTGAAGCAAAGACCACAGTGATGACGAAGACAACGTTAAGTAAAAAATATATTTAGATATTTAACCCTATAATTCCGTAATTATCCACTGTTCAATCAGAGATTTGTTCAGTATCCCTATGGGTCTAAAAGCATGCTCAAGTTTGATAAGTACAAAACGGGAATACGAAAATCAGCCGTCGGGGTTCATGTTCTTCAAACCAAGCCGAACTTGGTTAGTTCGGCCAGTTAGTTCACGTTGCTGTTTTGCAGGGGACGGCTGAGAATTGTACAAAGATTTATAATGCACTTGCACAGCCATTGTTCTGCTAGTTAAACCTTTTGTTTCAAGACGTTCTCCTAATGTCTGTTTCTCGTGTGCGAGAAATAATAGCGACATAATCAATCCACATCTTACTTTGACTGACGCTCAAATCTCACTTCAGCTTGGCCGTGAGAGATCTGGGTTAGAAATTCACATAATAGCTAAGCAACAGCCAGTCAGCATTGCCACAGCACGTCATCACTGTCGAAGCAAGTTTCTCTTGCGCAAAAGACTCTGACCAACGTACCCGGGGAAACGTCGATTGGGACAAAAACAAAAAGCAATCAGACGTCTGAAAACTAAATCGTGGAAATAGCGAGCTGCGAATGAGAAATAAACCTTAAGGCACGTAAAAGCTTTTAACTGCGAAAATACACCTGCAAGATTGAAAACAACAGAAACTAAAACTGGTTAACAGCACGTTGAGTTAGCAACGAAGATATTAAAAAAAAGAAACATACTGATAGTGTTATTATTCTTGCCCTTCATAAGCGACTGACTAGCTCAGAGGCACAGGAAGCAATAATACGTAAGTAGTAAAGGCTCTTCTTTAAATCATAGGCTGGTTTTCAATAGTGCATATGAATAAGTAAAGGCATGACCAACTTTAGCAGACGCAAGAAGATGATATGTCCATAGTTACTGCCGTTTATTAAGGAATTTTCCAAACAAAAGGTCGTACTTAATTAAAGGGACACTTCTAAAAGCACGGCTTTGTAAAAAATATGTAATGGTCTACTTTTGTTAAAAATTACAATAGAACACTGAATGTTGAAAAAGACCAATATTATTAGTTATTAATGTCAATACAAGGTTGTGATGTTAAATTGAAAAGTCTAACACACTTCGAGCTAATTATACTAAATGTCTACATTTCACTAAATATCTTCCTCCTGGTGTTTTAAGTGTAATTTCGTGAATAACTGAAGGTACTCAGTCATAATGTACTAGCTGCTTTGACCGAAAATGCTTAAGTAATGCAAATCAGCTTTTAACTTCCTTTTTCTTCCTCTTATCAGTTCTGTTTATAAAATCTGCTGATCCCTGATTTCTTGTATTCTTCATTTTAAATTTGCTCAGATTTAAATAAGGACGCGCTTTTTTTTTCTTTTTTTTTTTTTTTTTTTTTTTTTTTTTTTTTTTTTTTTTTTTTTTACATCAGAACTAGTCAATAGAAATCATGCTATGTTGAAAACGTTTGTTTATCACACNAAAAATCTATTAAAAAAAGGAGCGAACGTGTATGATCGTGTAAAAGAATGGAGCAAAGCCAAAACTATCAATAGATTCAACAAATGAGTAACACTGGTGTTCCTTGAGCGAACATACAGGCTGTGTCAGATAACATAGCAGATTTGGGAAAACACCGCTTTGCCACCGTTATCGCTTTTTTTTTTTTTTTTTTTTTTTTTTTTGATTTGCAAACCCGTTAAAAGCACAAGCCGCCTGGGAAAAAGTTAGTATAGTGAAGTTGTCGGATTCAGAAAATCTTCGCCCCAGGGTCGGCGGGAAATACGAATAAGGTCACTCAAATCAGTTTAAAAACTAGATACTCCAAGAGCGTTTCCTCGGTGTTCGCGTATCGCAATGTCAAATCGTTCTTTACGAGTATTGAAAACCGAGTAAAACCAAAAAAAATCAGGATATTTAACACAAGAGTTTGGATATTTACTCTTCAAATTGAGTATCCTCTTTATCCGATTGCATGTTGTTTGCATTTGAAGATCTGCTTACAAAGATTCTTGACTTTTTCAACATCTGGCGTTCGTCTCGGCATCATAGTTTGTTGTTAAGTCAGTAGTTATATTTTTGGCGGTGTTTTCGTAGTTTGAACTCATAAATGACTCCTTTGGTATCTAGTGAGAGCTAGTATAAACTTTGCTAATTTGGCTACCTTTCAAGCTTTAGAACTCGTAGACCGGATCGTTCCAAAAACGCTCGACATCTTTGTATGTGAGATGATAAACGTATAAGGTATGATTCTTTACAAAGCTTTCTTCACAAAACACAACATTCTGTAAATTATGTTGCTGATATTTCTGCACAGATCATTTTATGCTCCTGGGGAATCTATCTGACCCCTTTTGCCGCTGGGGGATCAAAATAAAAAAAAATTTAAAAAACCTGCCAGTACAAACCCTTGCTACTTTTTTCGTTTTTAAATTTCGTATCGCGCAGGATTCGTTGTACTGTGCAAATTTTGGAAGATTTAATAAATTGTTATAATTTATAAACGATTAAAAGCGATTTGTTTGGACAGTTTTATTTCAAGACTCAAAGCCGTGATTTCACAGCGATGATTCTTAAACACTATTTCATCATTGATAAGTTTGAGAGAACTTCAGGTAAAACCGAATACAAAACCAGTTTTCAAAACATAAAAGAAGCGCTCAACGCGATAAATAACGGCGCTAAAATTTTACGCTAAAATTTCCCTTCAGCTCTGCTGTAAAAGATAGTGAGTACTTTCCATTATCCCAGATTAACCGGTCATGGACCAGTGGGATTAACCAAGGAAAATGGACCGTCATTTTTCGTTCAAACCTGGCCCACTGCCATTTTCTTCCCTTCCTCAATCCCCCACGTAATTGAAAATCTACCAAGAAGCGGGGTAACGAACTGAGTTTTGAAAATGGAACGGCAAATTTCGGTCCGAACGGTCCGACCGATTAAGTGGACGAAAATATTTCGCTCGGATCGAATCGAAACGGACCTTTCCATCTCACTTTCGCCGAAATTTCCTGAGTTTTTGGCATAATAGAAAGCACCCCTAGATTCGCGATAAATACTAACTAAGCAATAGCACAGCCACGTCATAACTGTCTAGGAATTGGTTTTGTTGTTGTTGTTGTTGTTGTTTTTTCGCGCAAGGACTGACCGGGAAACCCCTGTTGAATTTGGATAATTGATAACGTTCATAATATCAATTTTAAGACAAACAACAATCAGACGTCTGCAAACTAAATCGTGGAAATGGCAAGCTGTGTCTGAAAAATTGACCTTATTGCACTTGAAAGCTTTTAACTGCAAAAATACACCTGTAAGATTGAAAAAAAAAAACTAAACTGGTAAACACGTTTAATGATTAGCCAAGAAATATAGACGTACTGATAAGTATGTTTCTCTCGCCTTCGTAAGCGACTGAAGCTGGCCCAAAAACAATAATAAGTAAGTGGTAAATCCCTTAAATGCTCTTCTTGAAATCAAAATGCTGGATTTAGTTTCACCAGTATGATGTTGACAATTAACAAAAATTTCCAAACAAAAGGCCCTACTTGAAGAGGCAACAACAAAAGCGCGCCTATAAAAAGTCAACGGTTAAAAGATATGTTATTGATGAAACCTTGATATAATGGTCTACTTTTGTTAAAAATTACGATAAGTGCACTGAATGTCTAATTAAGAGAAACAATGATAAATTATGGATGCACAAGGATTGGGGAAAAAAAAAAAGTCTGCCACAATTGATCGTATTCTGTAGTCGAATCTTGCAAAAATCGTTTAATCAAAACCAATATAATTAATAACTAAATTTTACTAAATATAATCCTCCAGGTGTTCTCTTTAACAACTGAAGGTATTCAGTCACAATTGTACCACTGCTTTGACCAAAATACAGCAAAATTACCATGACATTGTTTTAACGATCCGTACTGCCTATGCTTTAGCTAATATGTAAACCAGCCTTTAAGTTTCTTTACTTCTTCTCAATTTTTTGTTTATAGAATCCTCTGATTCCTAATTTCATGTCAATAGTCTGCGGTTAAAATTGGCTCGGATTCAAAAGTAGACACGGACGCAAGTCTTGATGCAAATTTTATCACGATTTTTTTAGGCACAAATTCGACTAGTAGCAAGTGGTAAGCCGTTACCATTTTAAGTATGACCCGGGCTGTTCAGGTGTTCCTGGTTTGAGCACATATTCATTCAACTAGTCTTGTAGTATCTGTGAAATACGTCCTCAAAAAAGCTGACAAGCCACCTAGTTGTATACTCGTCATCTCGTCATCTTACAATGCTCGTCACCATCCGCTATTCGGGTTTTCCAAATACCCAACGGAAATGATAATTCTGGCGCGCTTGAATTGTTTGATCGGCAGACCATTAAAAGCACAAACTACCTTGGAAGAAGTTAGCAAAGTTGTCGGGCATAAGAACTCGGCTCTTTGTCGGTTGTAGTGAAAGGCACTCCTCATAAGCGAGACCTTCCCTGTATCCTCGCCTGAGGGTCGGCGGGAAATACGAATAAGGTCGTTTAAATCACTTTAAAACAAAAGACAGAAATGGTGAAAGCGAACAATAACATATCAAGGAACTGATGACCAACTTGTTCAATTTTGCTACCGCTAAAAAAAGAAACTAAAGCTTTGTGTAACGGTTATTCAGTTTTAAGCAACTAAAGGGAATGAAAAGACGATATTATGGAATCCCTTACCCCTGGAAACAAATATTTCGGTAAGTTATGTAGTGGTTCGTTTCCTTTAAATTTTTCACCACCACATGTCCATGAAAACGACAATCGTTCTCGTGTTCGGCATACTGATGTTGTCATTGCACTTGGGGAGGAAGACATGTTGTGTAAACAATGGTTATGGCCATAGGCGTGCAGGCTGGGTGGGGGGAAGGCTGCAGCCCATCCAGTTACGGAAATTGTGAAATTTTTCCAGCAAAACGTTCATGATTCGGGTAACAGGACTGACTTGGGAGAAAAAT